AATACAGCTAGCTGAAATATGATTGGTTAAAAACTCTACCATCATAAATAAGTTATTTATCACACACAGTCTTTGTACCCATCAAGCGTATGTTATTTAAAATAACATTGAAAGCCACTCAACTAAGTGGAAATAATACAACGTAAAGAATACAGAGAATAATTTTGTTTACATATTTATGAAAATAAAATAACATAAATTATAAAATAACATAAAATACATAAAAGTAAATTTACTTTTCTGAGAATGTTTAGGCCAGCAGAGAAGGCCTTGCTGGCCCTCAGGGTCCGCCACTGCATTTATACGTTCCCCCCCAATAAAAATTTTGCACATTAATTTATTTCGAATATACCCATTTTCACTGCATATAGAAACTTTTTCTTCTTGTTGTAATTCCATTACTTTTATTGGAATACCTCTAGACAGTTTGGTAAATATTAATAGTTATACATAGAAAAATACAGCACCAACATGCGTAATCGTGTTTGTTAAAAGATTATTTCATCTCTTATTATTTTGTACACATCTCAAATACAATACATTGCATTCATAATGTAAAACCACATACAGTACACAGGAACCAACCAGTTTTTTTATTTCGCTTTACTCGCCTCAAAGAAACTATGCTGACCACCTAGACAACCAATGAAATCGTTCTTAAAGAGCCAATCATATTCGAGCATTCTGTTACACATCAGGCTGTTTGTATGATCTCAGCCTTTCTTCAGAATTGTGTAGTCACTCCGGGAAGCTAGTTTAAAAGAAAAACAACGAGGCTCAGTGTAAAGTTCTGTTTGTGACAATTGCACTACGACATCTTCACAATGGTAGGAACACGTAACATTATTGAACGACGGGATTGAAACTTGAAATTGATTTTTACGTGAAGGGAGATCTCAGCTATGCTAATGTGTAGCATGGCCGCAATATGATTTTGTTGTATTATGTAGTATGTAGTCCAATTTAATTGGGGAAGGCTACTGTTGCTGTTTCAGAAAGTGTTCGATAAGTTTACATGTGTAGGACAATTCATAAGCAAATACATCATTGTTAGCCTGTAATGGTCTCAGCGCCGTTGTTATCACGCTTCCATGATGAATGAATCGCTTGCTATATTGTATGTAGTCTTATTACCCTTGGTTTCCGTGAACGCACCGTGAAATTGTCAGTAATTAATTTAGCCAAGGTACTTAACGAAACAGATATATAACATACGTACAGTATATGAAAAAAATGTTGATACGCATAGTGTTTGCAAAGTTGTTCAGTTGCACGTTTAAAGTCATATTCGAACAGGAAGTGCTCAATGATAAAAATAAATGTTGATAATATAAAGCGTGTATAGTAGCTAGCTTAATATGCATCGTACTGTTCAGACATCACAATGTAACGTGTAATTGCCCACCGTATAGATTCGTCTCACACTCAGTGCATAGTTGGTGTTCAAGTGACAAGAAAATTGTGTAAAATTACATTTTTAAAAATTCTTGTCTAATATTGTTTCTGCATGAATTATATGTGATTCGCAGCATTTTCAATGTTTGATACTGTACTGTAATTGTGGTGTCTCTCCTTCGTCCTCCCCCATGCAGTCTATTATGTCGTATAATGGAGGGGCCGTCATGGCCATGAGGGGGAAGAATTGTGTGGCCATCGCATCCGACCGCAGATTTGGCATCCAGGCTCAGATGGTAACAACCGATTTCGAGAAGCTCTTCCCCATGGGCGAGAGGCTTTTCATCGGGCTGGCTGGGCTGGCCACTGATGTTCAGACAGTGTAAGTGTGTGTGACAGTTTGAGTTCAGTCAAAACGGTCGTAATTTTTTTTTTTTTTGATCAATGTGTACAGATCCCAGAGGCTTAAATTCCGATTGAACCTTTATGAACTGAAGGAGGGTCGCCAGATCAAACCCAAAACTTTCATGAGCATGGTGTCGAACCTTCTATATGAAAGGAGGTGTGTGCATTTTCATGGCTACACGTTAGTCTCAAAAGGTGCGTACAGACAAGATGTAATCTCATGGTGATTTTCCCTGATAGGTTCGGGCCTTACTACATCGAGCCTGTGATTGCCGGGCTCGATCCGAAGACCTTTGAGCCATTCATCTGCTCCCTGGATTTGATCGGATGTCCCATGGTGACGGAGGACTTTGTCGTGAGCGGGACCTGCTCGGAGCAGATGTACGGCATGTGTGAATCTTTGTGGGAGCCCGACCTGGTAAGTTATGTGTCAAAAAGAGGGGCTTTCCCACTTGCAATAGGTGAAAATCCATAATGTAGAGACCATTAAAAAAAAAAAATGTAATCAATAAACAGTCACATAGAAATCTAAGATAGGGCGGGGATGCAAATGACTTTGCAGGGGTATGCTGTATGTATAGTATGTTAGAAATTTGTTTGGTCACACAGGAGCCCGAGGACCTGTTTGAGACCATTTCGCAGGCCATGCTGAATGCACTTGATCGGGATGCACTGTCTGGCATGGGCGTCGTCGTACATGTCATGTAAGTACAGTGACAGTATTTCAATAGGTTGGAGCAATAAGATGTGCAGTGATTGACAGTCTTTTCTTCCAGTGAAAAAGACAAGATCACCAAAAGAAGCTTGAAGGCTAGGATGGATTAAAACCCCACCAATCTCAAATGTTTATTTGAAAACACGCAGGTTTTTTTTCCCTCCCTTTATATTGTTAAATAAATTTGTTTACACAGTCTGATGTTGTGTAATTTTCTCAAGGTATCGGTAAATAAATATGAGGTATCTACAGGTATATCTCAAGAACTACAGTATTGCGGAAAACTGAATTTATTTGCAGTGGTTCAATTCAAAAATGTAAATTCATTATAGGTCAGGGGTGCCCGATACGTCGATCGAGACTGACCAGTAGCCCGCAGACTGGTTATAAATCAATCGCGAGGGGTGTAGGGGGAAATCGGGGAAAAAAAATGTGTCTGTGTTATACAGTATGTTTTTGTGTTAGTGAAAATGCACCCTAAGCATCCTATCAATTTCACTTAAAAAAACAAGTCACGTCTCAACTAAGGTAGGCAGTGGTCACAAACTCACAAACTATTCTATTTTATTTTTCAGTTTCGTTAGGGGCCATTATGGCTGTTGTTCATCATAGCGTGCGCGCCTGCGTGTATATTATGCGTGCAGGTGCGGTTAACGGGTCGGTTCAATCGTGGGAGCTTGGTTGCTTGAAAAGTAGATTTTTGGTCAAAAAAAGGTTGGGCACCCCTGATATAGGTTGTCTGCACATTGTTTATTTATTTATATAACTGATTGTAGTTTACAGCTACAACCCAAAATTCACCAAATGAAGAAATGTGCTTCCTGTTCATGTTGCGGTCTCTAGCAAGACAGTTGATGACAACTGAAGCCAACCTTGATTTAAAAAGAAATCCTTATTGATTGTGTCTTTAGGCATAAATTCAATACCTGTATATCTTATAGCTAAACCCAAATGAAGCGCAACCATTGATTAGTGCAGGGGTCGGCAACACGGCTCCAGAGCTGCATGCGGTTCTTTAGCGACATCGAGTGGCTCCCCGGAGCTTGATAAAAAATGTTTGAAAATGGAAAAAGATTTTGATAGTAGGCTAATATAGCTCAAATAGATATAGATACATGTTGCAGCTCCGAAAAAGGAGAGCTGTATTTATGCTTTTAACAGTCTCGACAAACACAGACATGTCTGCGTCTGCCTTCTCTCTTCTCGTTCGACTCGAGAAGCGTTCAAAGACAGCCTCAGAAAAACGGAAATTAATGACCGCTTCACTGACACTAAGAAAAGCGAAAATAATGCACCAAAACAAAAAAAATCAAGCGAGGAAATTTAAAAATAAATTCTATGGCGGCGTTTGTGAACACACAACAAAGGAATGAATAACAAACAATTCTGAGACAGTCCAGTCTCCTACATACATACAGCATGTGTTTCCTTCATTGTAAGTTTTATAGAAGGCTTTTATTTTTTTGCGGCTCCAGACATATGTTTTGTTTTTTTGTCCTATATGGCTCTTTCAACAGTTTGGGTTGCCGACCCCTGGGTTAGTGTAATGTTTGGGGGCTCTGTGGTCACATTTTGTGTTTAAAAACAACAAAAAACAGCTGCCCTAAATTAACAGCACGAGTAATTGCCAATATATCTTTATTCAGTCGTTGTTCCACCACTGTTTACAAGCTCAGAATTGGAAATGTGGTTTGAACTGTAAAAGAAGTTTGAAGTAACTCAAGTTATAAAGCATACTACTCAAGATGTCAAATCATAGTTCTTGAAATTGTTTCAGGAGTTCACCCCTGGCTAAAGGCGACCTGGTTACTTCTGCCAGTATGCTTGTCTCAAAGATTAAACCATGCAAGTCGAAGTTCATACACCCTGAAACCGAAACTAACTTGTAACCTTCCAAGCCTTTGTGTGATTGGAAGGATTCACACTTGTGGTTCTCCCTATCTGCCGTCGCGATAGTCGCCGCTTCGTTCCTCTTAGCAATGCTGACAAACATGCACCCATGGATCACTCGTGATATCTGGAGTTGATTTTGCGGCAGTGTGATAGGCCCATAAATCAGCACACTTGCAGGGCACATAGAGACAAACAACCATTTGCACTCACACTCACGGACAATTTTGAGTGTTCTGTTAACCTGACATGCATGTTTTTGGAATGTGGGAGGAAACTGCAATATCCAGAGAAAACCCATGCAGGCATGGGGAGAAGATCCATTCCAAACAGGAAGGCCGGAGCCGAAATTGAACCTTGCACCTTTGCACTGTGAAGTGGATGTGCTAACCAGTCGACCACCGTGTCACCCTGCCCCAGTGATTTGATTGATAAATAAATAAATGGCAGAATAATGTGGAATTGAATGCCTTCTGATAGCTGGGCCTCTTAAGAGTGGGTTTCGTGAACTGGTGCAGCGACAACGTTCAATTAGTGGGAGAATCATCTGAAACAGATTTCTGACAGGCCCGCTCTTGGTTCACACGATCATGATGGCCACATTGCTGCAGAGAATCGTCTGGAGGTTGATCAACTCATGCTAAGAATGTGAAGTGAATGAAACAGCAACAAATTAAAAACAAAATTCTGATAAACTGATTCATGTTTGGCCAGCCCAGGTAAGCCCGTTGGTAAAGGCTTATACATGCAACATACTAACGCTGCAGTTGATACAGAAATAATCAAACACAAGATAAAACTCCCTTTAATATGCAATGAATCATTTTCAAGTAACCTTTTTTTTCTAATGTCTTTCGTTAACAAAACAATACTGTATACAAACACAAAATTGCTACATCAATGTAAACAAGATATTTTAAAAAATGATTTGTATTGTGATAAAACCATATATTTGCTGCTGAATTTCCCCCTTTTTTAAATTGCTCTTTTTTTCATTGACCAACCTTTACCAAGCTCATGTTTAATATTCCAAAATTTGTTAAAACCAATGTGGCAATATAACATTCAAACACCGATTTATGCGCGCGTGTTGTTCCTATTTTCATTGTAACACTCAGATGTTAAGGTCAGCGGTTCGATGTTGAACTAACTGGTGGAGTCTCATGTGCACATCAGCCATGCATATTGATAACTGCATTCTTTTACTTATTGGTCTACATCATCAGTAAGAACGTTTACATCCGGTTATTCCAAATTATCAGAAGTAGGTTGGGTTTTTCTGTTGTCGATACTGAAAGAGAAGCCCAAAGAAGGCTGCTAAAAGTATGTCATGCAATCTGTGTTTGTGTACACATCCAATGGAAATCAAGGTATAGCAACATGAAGAGAAAGTGAGAAGACGGTGCTGAGGCGCGGGCACTAATTCAAGGCATCAGTGAGACAGTTCCTGTGCTGGCGAGAGGAGTGATAAGGTAGGACGCGGAAACAGAGGAGCAATAATTCAAACGAAAATTCAGCGAAACAAAGGAAGTTATCAGGATGCTCTTTCCAAAACTGGGGGTAAGAGGGTGGGGGGCACTGTTCATTTGTGTTTGCGGTTCTGTAAAAGCCTCAACACATAACTTGACCTAACCATGGGCTCTTTGAAGAGGGTGAGGACAAGAGAGACTGTCTGACGCGGAGGACTCACGTGTAATAAAGTGTGCACACGTACGTGTGTGTGTGTGTGTGTGTGTGTGTGTGTGTGTGCCAGATCTGTGAGTGGCTGGGCAGGCAGAGTGGAAAAGAGTCTATGACAAGATATTGGACATGAACTCATAGAAGCGCTTGGAGTACTGCTCCGGGTTCACCGTCGAGATCTCGGCCCCGGCCTGGAAAACACGAGCCAAGGAATGAGAACGAGGGACCAAACGGATGAAAAGGAAACTTGGAAGATGATCCTGCCAATGACATTCTTTCATTAACTTCCTCACTTCAAACAAACCAAATGCAGCAAGAGCGGCATTTACTCAACTCAACTGTATTTATAGAGCACTTTCAAACAGCCATCGCTGCATACAAAGTGCTGTACATGGAGCAAATTAACATATACAACAAACAGTAAAGCAAATCGGTAATAACAGTAGAAAGCACCGAACAGCAAAATCAAGAACAATCTAAGTCATGCTGAGTCAAATGCCAAAGAATACAAGTGAGTTTTGAGGCGGGTTTTGAAGATGGGCAGCGAGGAGGCTTGCCAAATGTTCAGTGGGATGTCATTCCAGAGAGAGGGACCAGCAACAGAAAAGGCTCGATCCCCTCTGAGCCTCAGTTTAGTTCTTGGTACTTCTAATAATGTCTGGTCCGCAGACCTGAGGCGCCGGGCAGGTGTGTAGGGGCGGATGAGCTCAGAGAGGTAAGGTGGCGCGAGGTTATTTAGAGATTTGAAAACAAATAAGAGGATCTTGAAAATAACTCTAAAATGTATGGGGAGCCTGATCACTGGTATTGCATAATCTGTGCAATCTAGCGGGCGAAATCACGCGAACAAATAACCGAGCGAACATCTGGCACAGAGTGCGTTCTTCAGCCCCCCCCCGCTCAATACTGATATTTGGTAACTATGGTATTGCGTTATTTTTAGATTCGCGATACAGTATTGGTGCCGGGACTTGGGTCCAACACCGCTGTAACGGAGTGACACGAGTGATGCTTTTCATCACCAAATGTGAGTGACAAAAGTTACTAAATGTTGATTTTGGGTCTTACCTACTACAATAAAGTTGTACCTAGCTCAGAAAATGGGACAATGTTCTCATCTTTCATCTATAACTGCTTCAAACAACAAAGAGTATGCAGAAAAGTGGTTAAGATTGAATGACTCTGTGTCTCATGTGTTGTGTTGTATTATTTTGTCATGATGTTATTTTGACTTCAAGATGGCGCCGCGAGAGTGGCTGCCTTTACAGCAGCTCCTATACTTTTTGTTCTTCTACTTTCTTCCTTTCATAATTTTGCTGCTGTAAATTGGGAATTTCTCCATTGTGAGACGAGTAAAGGTTTTCTTATTCTTATTACAAATTTACACTTTTAGTTGACTATTGGTAAATGATGCTTATTAGTAGGCTAATAATAACGACTGATGCAGATTACTCTCCACGATAAGACAGCCGGCTGCAGCCAGACTAGTCTAACTAGCGTACTGTGTCACCCAATCACCTATTTCGGTGTTTTATGTCCAACTTGATCGCTTAGCTATTAGCATGGCTCGTCTGTCTTTTACTGGTTACTGAGGCCCCTGTCTTCTTTTCGTGATGATACTTGGAAGAAGTGTTGCTCATTCGCTGGCATGGAGGAGATGCTTAGTAATTTGTGCTGCGCTGAGACCAGAGGTGAAACGGAACTTGCGGCTCTGCATCGTGTTTAGCCAAATTAGCGAGCCAGAGGTAGCTTGGAAGGAGCTGGGGCTGGGCAAAATAGGATGCAACAAGCACTCCTTGATACGAACAGCTGAAAGCAGTGTGGCTGAAAGACTGTTCAATGTGGCCGTGATTTTTTTTTAAAAACAATATGGTGTTAATTTAATCGCATTCATGAAAGGCATACTGGTCAGGGTAGCCCGACACCATGCCGTACAGGACACCATTCATGTCAGATGATGGAATTTTTTTCTTTTCTTCAAACATCCCGAAAAATCTGTGTTACGGGTCTAACAAAGTAGCGTTCATTGATTTCCATGATTAAATACATCCGATATATAACATTCGGCACTTGTCAAGTGGGTTAATGGTTCATTGAGGCATACTGTATTTCCGAAGCATTTTTAGAATTTGAATAACCTTTACGCCAAATGTTCCCAGATCATCTCGCTCTGAAATTTCCTCAGCAAAAAACCCAAACTGAAAGGACCCAGAAGAGCTCTGGTTGCGCATTTCTCTAAGGAACCATCACCTTTGATCGCTCGCTCTCCATGTCCACAGCAAAGCACATTGTGCTAAATTCAAACAAACAATCAACAATCAAACATTTAAGCCGTAATACTAAGCATATGAAATTCAATCACGCTTGATCTGAAGAGCCATGTTCGACGGCCATCGGTCAGCGGCGCAAATTATTGTTGAATATCAGAGTAACCAAACGGAAAGATGCTGGCTAATGTCCTCTTACATAACCAGATTCGGACCAAAGCCAAATAAAAAGTCACGATGCTCACCCCGTGTTTCACAGTTTTGGCAGCATGTGCAGCTTTTTTCTTCGCATCGTAATGGGTGAGGATGTCGATGATCGCCATGAAGTACACCTCCTTCTTGACAGAACCTTTGGGGGGGAGTAACTCATCAGGTGGTTCTACTTTCATAAAAAAATGAGTTTTAATTATGAAGGATTGGCTCAGTGTGTAACTTAAAAAAAATAGCATGTTTACATTATTTCAGCAAATGCAAATAAAGAGCAAATGACATGCAAAAAGAGAAGAGCGTAAAAAGTTACTGCTCACTGTCATGGCTCTTGATTGCGTAAACATCAACAGAGGGGTCAAAGTCCCCGGGCCCAAAGAAGCCACAGTTGAGGGGGTTTCCTGGGCTGTCGGGTGGTGTGCCAAAGGAGCCAGTGAGAACGCCTCCACCCATCCCATCATTCTCATACTCTTCCTCATCGGCACCAGCCTCCACATCCATCTCCTCCTGCTCGGCTCGTTCCACGTCGTGGATCCCCACGAGAAGACTGTAATCCATGATCTTCAGAGTGGCCAGGAACTGAAACATACAACATTGCATTTTGTGGACTCCAATCAATTTGCAGAGCTGTATTTCATGAGGGGAAAAAAAAAAAACAAAAACTCAGAACTGCGGTGCTCCTTGCTTCACGGCGTAAACTGCAAATGTCAGCTGTGCTTTGACAAATTTACCTCGACATCATGTTTTAGCTTGTCCAAGAAGTACTTCTTGTTGTCGTCTCCTATTTGCAGCTTGTGGCCTTCATTCAGGAAGTCGTTGTCTTTGAAAGTGGGGAGCTCTTTTGCCTGAGGAGAGCAGACAACAATAGGGCATGCAGAATTTTTCTGTGCAACTGTCTTCAACAAATTCCAGTTTGTCTGCACAACACCACTCCCTGATCAAACGAACGCTCATCGAAAATAGATCAAAATTAATTTCTTCCATTTGTTGTCATCTCATTTTTTTTGGGGGGGAATCAAACGTACCTTTTCCTTGTCACTTGCTTCCCTTGAGACCGTGGAACCCTAAAAGAGGAAATATCGGTATAAATAGACATGACAGAAATAGATGATAATGCAAGGAGCATGATTCGTGGGTTCACGTCAGACTTTCTGAAAAGGCATTGCCATGAAAGAAATCTGAAATTAGGGGGGGGCCCACAACGTTCACGGCTGCTGGCAGTGAAGCAATGATGAAGTGAAACAAGAAAAGGAAAAATAGGGAAAAATACAGTACAGCACCATTGTCGATCACTCCCATTGGGTTTGTTGGTTTTGGAAGGCGTTATTGATCAGAAACAGACTCCAATCCGACACAAGTTTGTAGAGACCTCAGTGCTGTCCATTCGGGATGGACATAATTCAGAGATCAAAATATGATTTAGATTGCAAAACCACCATCGTGGCAACAGCATTTTGGATTTGGGCAGGGTATGACTGCAAATAAATTATTGCAGATTAAGCGCAGACTGCGCGAACAAAAAGAAATGCATTGTGACGATCTTTGCCAACATCCATTCATTTTCTGATCCGCTTATGCTCACAAGGGTCACGGGGCGTGCTGGAGCCTATCCCAGCTGTCTTCGAGCAGTAGGCGGGGGACACCCTGAATCGGTCACCAGCCAATTGCAGGGCACACAGAGACGAACAACCATCCGTGCTCACACTCACACCGAGGGACAATTTAGACTCTAAATTTTAGAGTGTTCAATCAGCCTGCCATGCATGTTTTTGGAATGTGGGAGGAAACCGGAGGACCTGCAGAAAACCCACGCAGGCCCGGGGAGAACATGCAAACTCCACACAGGGAGGCCGGAGCTGGAATTGAACCCGGTACCCCTGCACTGTGAGGCCGACGTGCTAACCAGTCGACCCCCAGGCCGCCCTTCTGTCTCTGATTCATTGAACTTGTAATTCCATGTAGAGTAAGGTTGCTGCCTCTATAGAATTTCCTCCCAGAATTGCGGTTTGGATGGAAAGGCTGTGAGGACTGGTTCTAAGTTGCAATAAAACAACATGGACAGGATTCTTTTTAGTTGTTTTCTTTACTCCAATTTGCAAGCAAATACAAATGTGTCATTAATCTCATTTTCTGACTCTCTCTTTGGTCTTTTATGAACAACAGCTGCGTCTTCTTCAGTTCGACTGCACATCATTGTTCAACACTAAACGTTACCACGACCGGGCGGCAAAACAATTGATCATTTTCTCACACTAACTACATCTGAACATGCACTTTTAGCTTCAAACAGGTGATACTGTATAAATGACTTCAAGAAATCACACAAACTCACAAGTGTGGATTACAGCAGTGTTTTTCAACCTTTTTTGAGCCAGGGCACGTTTTTTACATTGGAAAAATTTTGCGGCACACCACTAACCAAAAATGTGATAAAATGACACTCTGAACAGTGTATTTAATTGAAATATAATTTCTCAGTTTATTTATACTCAATCAGTGTGAAACCTGGGGCTGTTTAGATCAGGGTTTTTCGAACTTTTTTTCACTGAAAAAAAATCTCGCGGCACACCACTAGCTGAAAATGTGACCCCCCCCCCCCCCCATCCCACCTACCAACTAACGTGTTATATTGTTACTATAACAGTTTTTAACATTGAAGAATGACGTTATAATAGCTTGAATTGGAATCTAATGAACACAAAGAAAACAGTATTTTATCATCTTTCATATTTATTGTTTCACCGTCGTCCTGCATTCATGCGTCCCAAATTCGCGTGTCTCTCGTCGTAACACAAGGCAATTGGCTAGCTGTTGCTGCTCCCTAGCGGTATGGGAGGGTACTACATGATTACTTTCTGGGCGAAAGACCGCACAGGCGTAAAAATTGGATATTTTCCCGCGGCACGCCCGACAATGTCTCACGGCACACCAGTGTGCCGGGGCACACCGGTTGAAAAACACTGGATTACAGCAATAATGCAAACAAAGCACCGACTTTACCACCTCAAAATATCAAACTTCATGTCTCATGAAACATGATACGGAAACGTGGACTTCACTTCTTAAACATTCATCTTCTCAAGCATCGAGATGATAAATAAAATAGAGGTGTATAAAAATTTACGTCTACCGATCTCCGGTCAGTCACATCACACGTGCAGCATGCTGCAGTGAAGGGAACGTACAATTATATGACGCTTAAATGGCACAGCAGCTTCCGATTTCAAAAGCGCCAGCAGGCATCACAAGCTGCAGCAGTTCCTGATCAATTTCATGAGAAGTCAAATCTTTTCACTCATGAAATCGGACAATGCAACTTCTGGCCAAGTAAAGGCAGATGTCTTTATGCCCTTAACATTATGTGACTAGTGAAAACTTTGCAGGGTGGGGTGAGGGGCCTTCCATTTTCAAATGATTTGACCGGAGGATGCGTTTTCATTGGTCGCCGCTCAAGTCGTGCGCATAGAGATGGAAAACTCAAGAAAAATTGAGCAGAATGAGCACGCTTTTTTTATTCCAGCGTTGATGTTGCTGCTTGCAGTAAAGCCCTCCACTCCCATTGACCCGTCAACTTGCAGCCTTTGCAATTAGCAAATTGCATTTTCTCATACTGCGTACTGTATCACAAATGCATTTCATCGTTCAGCCCTAATATTAAGGTGAAACGTGAAAACTCATTCAGAACTCGCCAATGGATATCCAGCTTGGGCAAACGGGAATTGCAAATGAGATGTGGAGAAAGAGCTTAACTGATTCGTATGCTTCTATCCTCATGGTGCAGGTCATGCTTCGAGAGCGGGTTAGTGACCCGCATATCACGTATGTGGCTGCTGCACTAACCTGTGTTAAAAATTTGAGAAATAATAGACAGACACACATGAGCACGCTCGCCAAAATACCTTGAGGTCGTATTTGCGATGAACAGTGAGGCGATGGCTGAAGACATTCCGGGTCACGACCATGTACGTCTCCACCCCGTCCACTGTTAGCCTGTACATACCCAGAAATTGAGGGAGCAGCGTGTTGCCGTGACACTCCACTATAAACTGCGGATAACGGAAAGTAGAGAGGTACATCTAAGACACAAAAAGTGGCAGTGAGGTACCAAAGACACAGAATAAAGTTAATTCTTCTCCCAAGTGCTATATTGTTTAAAGCAAGGGTGCCCAACGAGTTGATCGCGATCGACCGGTAGCTCGCGGACTCGTCCCAAGTTGATCGCGAGGGGTGTGTGTGTGTGTGTGTGGGGGGTGGGGGGCATTTGTGTGTCTCTGGCGTTATTCATATTGTATATTTTTGTGTTAGTGCAAACTGCACCCGTAGCATCCTATCAGTCTCACTTTCACAAAAAGTATTTCAAAAAAAAAGAAAAGAAAAAAGGAGGTCACTTTCAACCTACGGTGGCGCGTGACCTGCATCACCGAAACTTATTAGCGCTCAGCATTCTGCAATTGCAGCTTGCGATCAGAGCTGTTGCGTTGTTGCCTTTATTATTATTATTATTATCAGGCAAAGTGCGTTTTGTGTACAATTCACCGATGGCACTGGCAAAGAATGGCAATCTGGAGTGCCGGGAGAAGCATTTTAAAACGGTACACGTGAGCCAGGATTGTGAACATGCTGCAAAAGCGCGTCCCACAACTCAGCGTCAGGTCTTGATGAAGGGAGGCAGTGATTTTCATTAACTCATGGGTCTACTTTATTTTTTTTGGTGGCTATAGCTCATCAGGGCATGTGTGCATATGCGCGTGTGTGTGTGTGTGTGTGTGTGTGGTAACGGGTCAAACGCGGGAGGTTGGTTGATGGAAAAGTAGATCTTTGGTCAAAAAAGGTTGGGCACCCCTGGTTTAAAGGCACATTCAGAAAACAAAAATTCTTCCAGGCCGCATTTCAACTTTCAAAATATCTGCCCAATAGTATATGTCAACGCTGTCAAGCAAATTCAACGGCAAGCAAGAATTCTACCTGGTGGTATTTTTTGAGGATGTTGTGCATCTCAGCGATGTCCTCACTGGACACAGTTTTGATTACAAATCGATGGTCGTAGCTGGAGAGGAAGCGATTACCAAAACGACCCTGGGAGTCGCTGTTGAGGGGAGCGCTTCGCGTGAGGGAGTTCTGCGAGAGAGAACAACGGGATTCCTTCAAGACCTCTCCGATAAGTGCAGGAGCTCATCCGATTACAAAATGACTTCTTGTCACTTAGCGCTTACCTGGTAGTCTTGGTCATCGATGCAAAACCTCTCCCTCAGGTTTCGGAACACCATGGGACAATATTCTTTGAACTTAAAGCGACTAGGAAGGTTTTCTCTGACAAGGGACAATTCACACAGTCAAGCGATGTTACGTTTGCTCGTTTCGTCCGACTCTTGCACATTATTGCAAATCTTTTTGTTGCGCCTTTTGGATGAGAATATGACTGTGACGCTTTGCCAACATCCCATTCAAAAGGAGATTCAAAAAAACATTCGGGACGTGTGACGAGGAAGCAGTACACTTTTGTCACTCTGGAAGGGGAGGAAGACATTTGCTTTGCACTTCATTAGACACATCCACACTAATGCTTTTCCAATTGATGTTTGTGGTCTGTTTAACCCTTTTCAGGGACAGCGGTTACTCCGGTGGACAGTTCATCACGTTATCAGGTGACAGTTTATCATTGGTGGTGCATGAAAGGGTTAAAGAGACAATGCCCAGTTTTGAGAGACACTGAAACATTTAGGCCGCATATTATGGTCAATTATATACTTGTGAATTGATGGTGTGCAAATGGTTGGATGTGTGGAGGACCACGCCACATCAAACGAAACAACCCAGTAAATCTCGTGAGCCGCCTCTTTCCGAAATTGTGCCTGTGAGCGAGCGATTCTAAATTTCACCAGATTGTGATGTAACATAGCAGCAGAGGTAAAGGTAAGCATAGCTGCATGGAGTTTTGTTGGTAGCACAAATTGCCATTAATTTCTGAAAATTAGAATATATTGATAGGTGGGTTTTTAGACTCTTGGCTCAACACGCAGCTAGCCTTGGCTTCGCCTTTTGTCATTATGCAAAGAAAAATGGGGCTGGCCATTGGCAAAGCAGTTACATGGGGCAGTGTGACCAGTGGCTTATGAGACAGGGAGGCCTTCTCAAAAGCAAATAACCCCAGCAAGACAAAAAAATGCGCTGTGTAAAGTATGCTCGGATTCTTGGTCCTTGGAAATGTTGACAAAAGCATGCAAGTTAAGTGTTTTAAATGTTCGGAAAAACAACATCTTTCCTTTGACTGCGCTGTAGAAAAGGTTCACGACTAATATTCGAGCTTCCTTTTCTGGGAGGGGCATTGGATGGTACGTGTACCGATTCCCAACAACAAAATGGAGGATTACGAAAGAATAGTTACAGAAAACATGAAATATTTGACACTGTGGTCATATTGGAGGAAGTCTGACTCATTCTGACCATTTCAGGCACGGAAGCAGTCAAACACTTTTGAGAAAACAGACAGAACCATTTAAAAAAATATTTTTCAGAAGTGCCTTTATGGGCAACGAGAGCACAGGAAAATCAATGTACCTACTTGTTAAAAAGGTGGTTGTCCACTTTGATCTTACTGTAGGCTTTAAAATCATCTGGCATCAGCATGACTGGTACAGGCACATTACTTAACTCGTTAACCTGACGGAGGAAAAGAGCAATGGATCAGACAACTAGGAGAAAGAGAGAAATAGAAACAGATATTGTCGGCACTGTAAGAATAACACATAGATCAAAGAAATAACATGAAAATGATCCCCTGCTGAAAAGTAAAATGCAAGTTGAACAATGTCGAGCATGCGTTCACCAACAGTCATTCAGAGCAAGCTGCTGTCAATAGAAATTATGACGTGCTCAAACAGCACTTGAAAAAAACCTTAGTTCAGTTGCAGACAGTACGATTTCAACTCAACTAACGATTCACACGCATCCACGATCTTTCAATCCCCACAGAGTTCCTGAAATGCACAAGTGCAAGATTACAGGAAATTTTTCACCACAGCCGTGGAGGTTCTGCTTTGGCCTGGGATTGTCTATCAATCCATTATTTGGTAAAACCAACAACCAAAAGTCCAAATTTGAAATGGGTGTAAGGGTCCATTGACCATTTGTATAATAATAAAAATGTATCTTTTCATTTGCATAATACTGAAACAAGCTATTTATGGTATTAGTGTAGATCGACATTGGATTGGTCACATTGTATTCGGCTCCACATTGTATTGGTCACATCATTTCTGTAGGTAGCTAACTTTGCGATACTCATGCTGTGGCATAAACACAAGCCAGATCGGAGTTTTACTGTTCGAGACAAACATTGAAAGGTAAAATGAATTGTGCTGCCATGTGAAAAGACGGCTTTCAAAACACTTGCTGAAGACCACCAAAGAAATATAACTCCACTATTTCAAAGAAAATCATATTCAGCCGTGATTTTCTGAAACAATTAAAAAAAAAAAAACGGACAGACTGTGGAGTGCAACCAAATGCAAACATTGCCATTTTATCGCTTTTAGATTTTAAAATGTTCTCCAAACTTCCTGAAAATGTACCAACCTAATCCAGAATCTTAGCTGAACACCAAAAAACCGTCTCTCATCTTCAAGCTTTAAAATGCAATCTATTGCTGATGAGAAGATGAAATCTTGCCTGTCTGATGGCTGCCTGCCCACACCACAGATCAAACTTGTTCATGAGCTGCAGCCACAGAGCCACTCCCAAAGTTCATCACAGAACATCAGATACAGTTTAAAAAAAAAAAAAAAAAAAGATCACTCCATGCTATGATACAGTAACCGATACAAAGTGCATTGCGTGCAATAAACTGGCAGACCTGCATGGGCACTTTTCATTATTTAAAATAAATATTACTTATTAGACAGCCTGCAACCTTTGCTATCGATACTGTGCGTCTCACTCGGCTCAACAAAATGTGACGGTGATGCATGCTCACCGGCTACATTCGGAACAGCTGCGCAGTCATACAAGATTCAACACAAGTGCTGCATCCATGAATTTGTTTGTTTGTATTTTTTGTGAACAATGCTATTGATATTTTTAACAGTGACAGTACAGGTTTAGTCGATTGCTCTGCGGTTTATGCAAGTATAGGGCAGATCCCTGTTGTTACAATTAAGCTGAGGTTGACAAGTCACACTCAAAACCAGTAAGTAGTAATAATTAACATAACAAAGCGATTGACAACTGTCTTCTCTTTTTTTGTGTGTGGATGTGCACTCAAATTTAGATTTGTTTTTCCTTTTCTTATGCCACATACAGTACATACCTAGTTGGGTTGGCAATGAGGCTGGAAACAAATGTTCACAGAAAGCATGAAGCATAATTTTCTGGCCCAGTTTATTGGATTGTTTTGATTTTGATTGACACTGTCAGAGAGGTATCCATTAGCGTGTGTGATTGTAGTTTGCAGTGGTGTTGAAGAGTGCATGAAGGTGATTATTTTCGGAACCTATTTAGTCAAATGAAAGGTGAATCGTTATAAGGGTTACATGAGGTTGACTGGTCGCACATCAATCGAAGTGTCTTCAGTTAAGGCATGTTTTTGGAATGTGGAAGGTAGCTGGAGAAAAATTCACCCAAGCACAGGAGAACAGAGACAGTCTCAACACTTGTATTAAAAAATAAATAAATAAATAAAATGGAAAAAAACCAACTTTGGTTTATTATGTACAGCATCCATCCTAATTGGGGTTTGAGGTTAAAGTGGGCATGAGTAGCGATGTCTACATAAAGTTTGGTGGTGACTGATCAGTTTTTACGCTTTTTCTGTGTCTATGAACAGGAAACCATTTAATGCGCATCGCATTTTTAATATATTAGTTATCGTTTTGATATAGGGCTGCAACTAATGATTATATCAATAAGTCTCTCTCTTATTTGATCAATGAATCCGTGAATCAGATTTTTTTAAAGCATGTTTTCATTTCCACCCCTTTATTAAAAAACAGGACATAATTTCAAATTAACAGTGCAGAAAAAATGAATTATGATTCAGTTGCTGGTCTGGTTCGTAACGTGAGAAAATAGGCAAAAAAAAGTGTTTTTGAAAGTAAAAGCAAATATTTTATTTTGATTCAACACAAAGCTAAACAATCTGCTTTCATTGAGGACTACAGAAATCAGATACTGTACTTACTGCAGAGAAGCTGACATTTTGAGCAAATTGGGCAATTATTTTTTTTTTAAAAAAGGTACCTGAATGATTAATTGATCATCTAAAATAATAATCATAATAATAATACATTTTATTTATAAGCGCCTTTCAAAACACTCAAGGACAATGACTGATTAGTTGTCGATTAACTGATTCATTGTTGGGACTTCTATTTTGATATCTTCACAGGGTGAAGTGGGCATGATTAGGGATGTCCACACAAATTTGGGTGATAACCGATCACAGTATTCAGACATTAATGCATTCAGGTATTTCAGTACTAAGCATTTTAGAATGTCCCGGATAAAACACGAACTTCCTACACGAAGCCCGGAGCTGAGAGTTGAACCCTGAACCTCATATTTGTGAGATAGGTGTGCTTACAACTCATCAACCATGTTGCCTCTTCAAGGGGTAACATTTTAAAAATAACTCTGACCACAGGGAAGGTTCAGGCAACACATATACACACACATATAGATATACACATACATACATACATACATACATACATATACATATATATATATATATATATATATATATATATATATATATATATATATCTCACAACACGTTTGGAAGAGCGGGCAAACTTGATGCATCTCTTGCATTATCTCCTATGAAGCATGCACGGGTGTACCAAATGAAGCGTCCAGTGAGTGTCGATTAAAAACAGAATTCCTTCTGCAGCAGCGGAAGTGAAAATGAGAAACCTGCTGCTCCAGCTGCCGGTCACACCCCTCCCACCATGCCTGCACATTCGGCGACACCACTCCAGTCAATACCACGGACAACACAAGCAAAAAGTTCCGACGTGCTTGGAGTTCAAATTTGCAACCGACTGAGGACGAGCTCAGTGTTGTATATTAATCTGCAGGGTGGCACACACAGACACACGCATGCAACAGCCAAAGTACCGTGCAACGGGGTGACAATTGAAACTGCCTTGCACCCTCCGAAACACACAAGCATCACACTAAAACGGATATATCAGTCGATGAATTACGCTCACATCGTCCTGGTTTTAGAGGAGTGCAAGTGGTTAACAGACAATCTAAATCAAAACAGCAACATAAACACACCACTCAAAAGTCAATCGAAGCACATTTAAAAAAAAGAAAAGTTACCGTGTGATTCACACCCCACATTAACACGCTGAGGATGGGTTCGCTTGCACGGAACAGTTTCACTTTCTGTCCTATAAAATGCTTTTTTTTCGTCTTGGTTTTGCTAGCGCTGACAGGCGCTGCGCTGGTGCAGTTGGATGACATGTCTCGGACTGGCAATTCAGAGCACGCGCCACGGCATTCACAGTCGTTCGGAGGTTCTAACAGCACCCCATAGCCCCCTCAAAAAATCGGAAAGTGAACAGCTTTAAAAAAAATTTAAGTGCATTGTGCTCGTCGTTCAACTCGAAGTGAGCCTCTGTCTTGGAACAGTCTGGTTGGGAGTCAGGGGTAGTCGTGCATTTTGCGCCGTCACCACCCTTCCTCCTCCCGAACAGGCCGCGGGTCCACACAGCAGCTAGCTGGCCATCAGGCTACAGCGGGCGTTGCGTCATAAAAACAACCCAACACGGCAAACATTAGTCCAACAGCTCCTCTTGCCCCTCTCTTAATATTTATAGCCCACAGCCCATGTGACTCGGGTTCACTTTGAATTCAGTAATCTCATCCTGATGCGCCGAAAATTATTGTCAGTTATCGCCAACCAGCGTTGGTTCGTGGTCTCCTCAAGATGGCGTCTTACGCGTTTCGGTCAACAGCGCCCCCAGCAGCCCGCCGAGTGAACTACTGGAACTCCCACTGACCTTGATCAGAGCCACAAACCTTTTCAGAATGTTTGTAAACAACTGGCAGAAATACGTAACTACATCTGACCAAAATTACACCGATGACAAAAAGTCGTTGTGTTTCAGTTTGCCTTCTAGATTTAGGTTGTTGTTATTTTTTATTTACAAAATACAAAATAAAAAAGTAATGCGGCATGACGTGGGTGAGGAAGATAACGTGAGTGAGCAGTTCTACAGACAAGACTGAAAGACTGCTTGGTGACGACACTTGGAGCTCAACTTACATCGTCGGTTTTGTGGTAGGCACTTGTGTCATAGGTAGTAAAATGTGTCTGAATAATTCAGCAAAACAATGGCTGTTGCTAATGTCAGCTCAGTGGTAGGCTTTTCATTTTATTTTAAAGGTCAAGTGTAAAGTAATTTCAGAAAATACCAAATGAAATATTTTATGTTACAAGTAAATAAATAAAAGTCAATAAATAAAGTATAAAAATAACTTGTAATATGTAAATTCAACAAAATATTTTTCCGAAGTGAGATTCTGTCGAGAGAGAAACCCCGGACGTGTGACGTCATTTAAAGAAAAACAATGCAGGTGCGATCGCTCAAAGACTGCAAGGGAAGCTCAGCTTCCCCTAAAATGTCCAAAAATAAGTGATCAAATACATGTGTAAGTTGAGAGGTTCGTAGTTTTGTAGTGGATAGCTTTACTTTAAAAATGGGCAAAAGGAGAGATGGAATCCTTTGAAGGAAGTTTTTTATTTTCCCAACGTCTGCACCTCCGAACGAACGAACGAGAACACACCCTCTTTCCCGGAAACACCAAACACTTCCTGGTTTCCTTAACCAATCATATAATATCAACATAAACTTGTTTAAGCAATTATTAAACGGAATATAACCTAGGTAACTGTGACACAAAAGAACATAATGCTCAAATATAAAATGAAAATAATTATTAATTTAACATAAGCTTACACGTGTGTGTACATACAATTGTGTGTACATGTCAATGACTAAATATGCGCTACAACGCGCTCAACGTTTGTTCCGAATCAGCTTATTACTAGTTATGACGCGCGACTGTCTTATTCATTCCCGCAGCTTCACTGTCGTGATGTGTCGTTCGCGAACGAACCGGCTCTTAGAGCCGGCTCCTAATAGGAGCCGACTTTTTTTTTTCATGTTTTTTCCCCCCTTTCGGTTAAAGCCGCACGTGATTGGTCAAG